AGGTCTTCATTGTTGTGTCTCCAGTCCAACCTTTTTATATGGTCTGTTCCCAATACTCTGTACAGGCCACTGCTTCTGGTGTTGGGGTTGCCAGATCCTGTGGGGTGCACTGTGGTGCTATGGGGTATCTCAGGAGATGATCCATGGTTTTGACAAACACATTGGTCAACTGCGTAGAGGCATGAGAAAGTTGTATCTGCCGAGACCCACTCTCAATCTGTTCAGGCTGTGCCATGTGTGCCATTTGTAGTTGGAGCCAGATGCTAACTCCTCACTGGCGGTAATTCCTTGCTGGCTCTATTCACCAGCTTTGTCACCTAGTTTCTCCCATTCTTTTTGCCAGAGGGCAGTACTGGCTGATTCTGGTGACGTGGTCAATGGTATAGTAGAGCAATGGTTCCCAATCCCAGGGCTGTGGCCCGGTGCCGGGGCACAAAGGGTTGGCTGCTGGTCTGCAGGAGGGCCAGCCCCTCCTATCCTGCTGTGGTGGCTGCTGCGGTTGAAGTTTGGTCCCTCCCTCTTGCCTGCCAGCTGAAGATATCTTTACCATTGTTCCAGATGGAAGTTTTGGCTGTGGGGCCCTGTGCAGTGTCACCAGAAGTTGCTGTGGACTGGCAAACTGTGGACTGGAAGTGACTGGCATACAGCAGACCAGCAACCAACAATTGGATTCATAGATGTACGGCCGGAAGGGACTTTGTAGATCTTCTAGTCCGACCCCCTGCCCTGGGCAGGAGAGAAAACTGGGCTCAAATGACCCCAGCTAGATAAACATCAAGCCTCCTCTTAAAGACCCCCAAGAAAGAGCCAGCACCACTTCCCTTGGAAGTTGGTTCCAGATCCTAGCCGCCCTGACCGTGAAGTAGTGCCTTCTAATGTCTAGTCTAAATCTACCCTCTAACAACTTATGGCCGTTATTCCTTGTTACTCCGGGAGGCGCTAGGGGGAACAAGGTCCAAAAAGCTACATCTCAGTGAGAGATGACAGTGTGCTAGTGGATGTCCATATAGCGGGTGGCAGTTGTCTGACTCTAGTACCTGCTGGTCAATGTTGCTTGCTACTTTCCTCTGGATAAAAGAAGACACTATGCCAGATAGTGTGTATAAGCAGGCAACAGGGGTGGGTTTTAGGCAGCTTGCTATAATTCTGCATGTATCATTTGGGGTGGTGTCAATATGTTTATTGTGACTTGAGCATTTCCAGATGGCACAGGCACATTTGGCCACAGAGAAACAAAGGGCTAAGGCAGAAGTGTGTAGGGTGGATGGATGTCCTCCCCACTTGGAATTTACAGGCTTATGCAGAATGTTGTTTCTTGTGTTGACCTTGGCTTTGGTATTTAATATATGCTTTTGGAACTAAGTGTACAGTCCAGTGTTACCCCTAAGTAGACCGAGTGTTTCTGATGTTCGAGACTCTGGTTACCCCAGGCAACATTCAGGTGTCGTTCTGCATCCCAGTTCCTCAGATGGGTTAGCACAGATTTGGGTTTTGCTAGGGTTGGGGTTGAGATAAGTATTTAGGTAATAATTTGACATCTTGTTCAATGCCCTCTTCGGGATCTTCTGTGTCCTCAAAATTATTTTGTGCACTGGTGATGCATAGGGGGTGCACGCGGGTGCACGTGCATCCCCTGAGCGCGATGTTCTACCCGCTACTAAAAGACATCGCCACCACTGACAGCAGTGCCTGCGGGTGGTCGCCACTTGCCACCCCTGCCACCGACAATGCCTGTGGCGCCTGTGGGCAGTCAGCAATTGCCACTGGCCACTGCCGGCGGTGTCTGCGGGTGGTTGTCGACCCCTGGTCGGCACTCGCCACTCCCCTCCCACCCCCCCGCTGCTGACAGCACCAGCGTCATCTGTGGGAGCTCCCAGCTTACCACTGCCGCGCTACCACCGCCGTGGCCCCCCAGCTGCCGGGGCACACGTCGTTCATGCTTCTGTGTGTGGTAATGTAGAGATTGTCAGCATAGATGAAATGCTGACATTTGGCAGAAAGTGGCTGATGGTTAATGTAGATGTTGAATAGAAGTAGGGTGAGCACACTACCATGTGTTAAATCGTTCTTTTGGTAGCACCATCTACTTTTCTGGCCATTTAGTTCCACATAGAAGTGCTTGTTCTCCAAGAGGCTATGGATGGTCTGGTTTAGATCCAAATCATCAATCATAAGGTATGGTTTGTGGATCATGATGCAGTGTTGGACAGTATCATATGCAGCAGATAGTTCAACAAAGGCTGCACCAGTGATTAACTTATTTTGGAAACCATCTTTGATATGCTGCGTGAGGTTTAGTAGTTGGTCTACTATGGCTAGGGAGCCAAAAGTGGCCAAAGGTCATATTAGCTGTATCACTTCCTCTTGGGCTTTTGGCTATGGATACTTAGCCCTGCTAACCTGATGGGCTCCTTGGCTCAGGTGGACCTTCAACCTTGACTTCTTTTTATTACCTTTGACAGGCCAGTCAGGGTGGGCGATTTCCCCAGTCAGACACAGCCTCAAGTTGCACTGAAAGGGTGCTGTATTTAAAACTCGTTCTGCAACTCCCCCTAGTGACCAAAAAAAGCCACTTTCAGTTGAAATAGCCTGCTCCCATTGACCTCTTCAGCTGTAGGCACTCAGCACACGAAGAACCTAAAACCCCTGTCTGCTTAGGTTTTGAGGTGCATTGCTCTCTCAGCACTATCAGTCTCCACCAAACAACAGTGGAGCATGCAGCCATTTAGTAGGATTCCTCTGCTTAAGCTGAAGCATTGCTTTTAAAAAAGATTGCCAGTCTCAACTCTCCATATTTCTACTGTATCCACAAGCATCTTTGTGCTTTCTTCCATGCTCTTCTTCATGAAGGGCTCTCCTCACACTTTTCTGCAAAGCCAATAGACTCCTTCAAGTCCTTTCTCAAAAACTGCTACAACTAGAATGCCACAATGGGATGTTAATCTAAGAGATATCTTGTGTTTCAACCACAATACAAGCAGAAAAACAGAGCTGGAAGGTGCCTTAAGAAATCCTTCAGGCCAACACCTTGTTCAAGTCAGGATTATCCCTGTCTAAGACAAAGATTGTCTGGGATGCTTAATTTGCATTTAAAGCCATCCAAGATAATAAAAGTTTATGCATTTTAACTACCTAGAAAATATAGAAGCAACACCAGTGCTAATGGTGTGCTACACTGAAACTGCAGGGGAAATTTAGATAGAACATCTACTTGGAAAGAAAACCTAACAGACTTGTTAGCAACCACAGATGGTGAAGGCATTGGTTTTACATTTCACTGAAGAGCGAGCATTTCCAGAAGAGCTCTCCCTCCTTGTCCAACTTCAGACTCAGGGAGAAGAGCACTGCCTTGTGCTGGCTCAGACAGCCCAGCCAGAACCAAGCTGCTTTAACCCATTTGGCATGGGCAACTGGTGCCGCCTTAGTCAGGAGGAGCACATACCCCCCCATGCGATCAGTCCCAGGGAGCGGGGGGCGGGTCCCCCTGTGGCCCATCTTGCTGCCTGGGGGGATCCCCGAGGCCGATCCTGTGATGGCCAATCGCTGCAGCTGCTTCTGGGAGTGGCTATGGCTGCTTCTGGGAGCAGCTGCAGCGATTGCCCGGCGCTTGCAGGGGGGGCACGGGTGCTCCTGCCTGCCCCCCCTGCCCATCACCTAAGTGGCAAGTGTGGCCAGTCAGGGTGTGCACCGGTGCTCTCGGGGGGGGGGCACCTCCTACATGTCGCCACTGTAGAGGAGCAAGGAGACAGGCTGGGGCTGCAGGACACAGCACTCTGGCAGCAAAAGCCCCCACGCACCCCCTATGTGTCGGCACTGCCATTTGGGACTGGTTAAGAACTAGAACTGTCCTAGGATGTACATATATCAAGTGGCAAGGAGTAGGAGAGCTGCTTTTGTGCTTAGAAGAGCTCTGTGGTGGTGATAACTTGAGATTCATGGAGCTATTAAAAGTCCATCCCCTCCCAGGCCAGGAGAGGTTTCCTACAGATTTCCCAGCTCATCATCCACTTTAGCAAGAAACATTTCTCCCATGGCTTCTTTGCACGCTGTAGCTGTGGGTGGCTAAAACACCTGTACTGCCCTGTGTAAAATGCCCCACTCTGCTATTGATGTGAAACGTGGGTGACCTACCATTGTCATCTCAAGAGCCCAGGGACTCTGGAAAATCTCCACAGCAAGGGGGAAGATCACCGCACAAATGTCAGCATCCTTGTTGAAACCAGTGTCACCAGCATTGAGTTGGTGATCCTCAAGCACCAACTTTGCTGGGCTGGACATTGTGCATGGATGTCTGACTCAGCTCCCAAACAAGTGCTCTGCTCCCATCTTAGCAATGGCCTGAGACCTCACAGTGGCAGAGGAAATACTACAAGGACACTTTGAAGGCATCCCTCAAGAAAACAGATGCCAATGTCAAGCTGGGAGGAGGTGGCTGCCAACCAATTCCAGTGATACCACAACCTCAACCAAGCGGCTGCCTGTTTTAATGTAAAAGCCTCTCGCCAACAAAGCAAGAAGAGAGAACGGAGAAAGGAATAGGAGAGAAATCCCTCTCTGTGGAAGGACCCACAACTTCTGCGGAGAGGTCTGCAGCTCAAGGACTGGACTCTTAAGTCACCTCAAGACAAGACCCATCAACGAGCTGGGGCATTTTTTTTTTTTTTATTTAAAATTTTCCATATTCCAAGACAAATTTGCCAAATCAAATTCCAAATCCATGAGTCAGTCCAGAACGATAAGTGGTCCTACTACCGGCAAACATCCTCCACCCCCATCTGGGCCTTCAGATGTTTCCAAATCCTTTGGCGGGCATCCTACATGCAGGCCCAAGCTCAGAGGCTCGGGGTTGGGCTGCCCCTGAGTTTTGCTAGCCCTTAGTCGGAAGGCCCTCGGAGCAAGCAAGGGAGGAGACTCCCATTTCCATAAACTGGGCTTAAAGCTGCTGCACCTCAACGGGTCCCGATCCACGCCAGAAGAGCAGCTCTCCCGCGGCACAGTTCAGGAAAACCGCCTTCATGGACACGGATACGTGGTATTTCCCCTGCCAGGTTAAGAAGCCACTGCGCTTCACCTGAGCCTTCCAGAAGCCGAGATCACCCCCAAACTGAAGGCCTGCCCCTATCCCCACCCCCGTCCTGGTGCCAGGATAGGGAAGCGCCCTGCCGCTGCGCCTGGCCCCGGGGCAGGACGTGGACGTCTGGGTTAGCTAACACTTGGCAAAGCGCCCTGCGGGCTGGAGGGGAGCCTGAGGCCAGAACCTGTCCTACAAGCCTAACGGTTAGAGCC